TTTTTTTTTTTTGCTAACTTAAACAAAACATTTTTATTTTTTTTTGTAAATTTTACACAAATTTTCAAATTAATTATTAACATTTATTCAAAATTTAAATAAGAATAGCTATGAGTTCATTTTTTTAAATTATTATTTCTGTTTTTAAAAAGGCTTCTAAGAATATTCTTCGCTATAAAATAACCTTCAAAACATCGGTGATGTTTCAAAGATAACTATAATAAAATAAAAATCAACAAACTTTTTTTTTAATTCACAGAAGCGTTTTTAAAAACAAAATTTAAATAATTTCAAATTTTTGCTTTAACTTCATATTATAAGTTAATATTTATATAATATGATAAATGAAATAAAGTTTAAATTTAATTAAGATAGACAATTTAATAGTTATTGCCTTAAATAAACTGTAGTTCTCAAGTTACATATTACTAAAATGTACACTTTTAAATTTCAACCAAAAGGTACAAATAAGTATTATTCTGTTTCAAACTATTATTCAAATATTCAGAAAGTTTTGGTTATAACTTTTTTTTTTATTTATTTTACAACTTTTATTTCGGTAAATATTGAAAATGGACCACTTCTCATACAATATTTATCGTTTCTTTAACTAGAAACATTTCCATTATTTGTAAAAAACGTTCCAAATCATCAATATGTTTATTATGTATATTTTTATTAATAAAGTTATTTTAAATTATTGAAGTCCTTTTACATATTTTCCCGCCGAAAGTTGTACTGTGACAGGACACAGATATTCCGGGCACAACGTTCTGATAACGAATTTCAGTAAAGTAGCTATTCTGAATAAGTTTTTCAACTACACTGTATATCAGTATAGTATGACATATAGTAAGATATCGGGCCATCATATAGAAATGTCATCATACGACACCCTTTTTATGCTTTTTTTTTGATCTTGAGCTAAAGACACGTTTACAGAGTCATATCAAAATTCCTAATTTTCTGCTTTTGACTTCCATTTTAGTAAGTTTTTGGTGCTTAAGAATATAAGATAGTTATTTTTATGTGAATATTAAGCATATGCACACATATTTACTTTTCATAAGTAGATTTTCTGATATTTATTACTGAGCAACACTGTTTTGACCAAGGTGACGAGGCACAGAAAGCATCGAAATTTCTCTTAATCTCTATTTTTTAATTAACATATCGTCCTAAGCAAGCTGATTGTGTGAGCTGATTGCCAAAAAAACCTAGTAACTCTCAAGTTTTCGTTGTTGAGAACTAATATATAATTTGAAAATCTACTAAGTGAAAATGGTAAAACTGCAAATATTACTTTAGTGTTAAATTGATATTTAAGTGTAGTTATCACCGACTTATCTAACAGTCTTCTTATGTATAAAAGTGGCTTTACGATTTTAGCATTTGATAATTATTTTTATATGGTATATAGGTATATTCAAAAACATGCTGTGTGTGCTGTTTAATATTTTTTTAGACATTAAACAAAAAGTTTTCTAGCCTAATAGAAATTAATCAATTATTCAAGAAATAAATATATTCGAAACGGCATTAAACCCACAATTTATGGAGATGTTATTTAAATTGTTTTCCTAGTGCGAGTTAGTGTAATTTTTATATCGTCTAATATATTTATATTAAAAGTGAACTACTTGCTTCCACCACCCACACCCAGTAGATACAATGAGTATATCAGAAGAAAAAAAGAATAAAATTAAATTTAAAAATGTATTTGCATTTTGCTTTGCATTTATTAGAAAAGCCAACCTGTAAACAAGCAAATTGGAAAACTTTTATCGAATACAGTAGAGTTTCGATATCAAAGATATAAAGTCAAGGGCTTTTCTTATTTGAAATGCATTTTATTATGCAATATTTGTTATTAAGAAAAGGAACTTATTATATACAAGCATTTAATAGTTCGTTATTTATAGTGTTTGTTAAACCGGGAGTCTACTGTATATAGCTAATAAAAAAAGACTGCATTTAATGAAAGATTTTAAAAAGTACTTTGTTCTTTGGGAAACTGGTGAAAAAGATTATGTTCATCATAATCTTATCAAAGTTTTTTCACATATAAATAGCTGCACGTTCTTCAAAAATAAGTATTTCCAGCTATAGATAAGGAAAAAGTAATTAGAAATAAATTATTAAAATATTTATTTTGATGTTGTACATAAATATAAATAAATATGAGTATATGAAATATTTACAATATTTTGGTACATCATAAATATTAATACTTGTTCATCAAAATTTTTCAGATCTTGTCAAAAAAAAAGAAAAAAGAAGAAGAAAATTTTAATAAATATTCAATTTTTTCCATAGTGAAAATAATAAAGCATCATACATTTATTTGAATTTTTGGCATAATTTGCGAGGATTTCCCAAAACAAATTTAATTAAATTTCTTTATTTTTTTTCTTTTTTTATTTATATTTATATTTATATCTGTTTATTTCCGAGTAAATAGTTGTGAGCGCCCTGCCTTTGCGAAACTGTCCGCTTTTAGACACTCGATAGACTGAATATGTGCGCATGCAGTGTTCTTATAGTGTTTTTCTTATTTCTATTTTATTAATATAAATAATATTTTTTTTTTTTTGTTATTTATATATATTTCTTTTTCAAATATTTTATTGAATTTCAATAAATTGTTCATTGCTTTTCATTATTATTTGTCTTAAATTTGCACAACGCCAGAAGCAATTGCTAATTTAATACATTGATGACGGTAATTTGCTTATTTATAGCAAAGAAAAACTTAATATTTTTTATTGTATCTCTTGTCTCGAACCCATACAATGTTTCTTATTACCATATCTTTTCAATTGGCAGCAATTTTCGGCACTCGTCTGGTCTGGTCACTGGTCTGCCTGTTGCCTGCTGCCTGCTGGTGCCAGCCACTCGGTGTAAATCTGCCTCGCCAAATTTTTCCACTATCAACACTTTAATAATGAATTTTTAATGTTTCCGTCATGCCTTCAATTTTTGTAGCTATTGCATTTCGTTTGTATTGAAAATAAGCAAATATAAATATTATATGTGTATATATTTGCAAATAAATATTTTTCAATGATAATCATATGTTCACGAGATTCTTAAATTCTCAACAGTATAGTATTAGAACTTTCAGTTTCAGTTATGCCGATTGGTTAACATAAAGTAAAATGTGGAGATAATAAATAATATGCACTTAAATAAAACCATTCCAACTTCTCCTTTCAAGGATTTGATTTTGGATAATATTAAAAACGAAATAATGATATATACATTTTTCATTATTTAATAGTCTTTTTTGTATTTAAAAAAAATCACGTATCTAATTATTAATTTTCTGTTTTTTTTTTTTATTATTATTAATAACACAGGTAATGGTACCATTGATTTTCCTGAATTCCTAACAATGATGGCCCGTAAAATGAAGGATACCGATAGTGAAGAGGAAATCCGAGAGGCATTCAGAGTATTTGATAAAGATGGCAATGGCTTCATTTCAGCGGCTGAATTGCGTCACGTCATGACAAATTTGGGTGAAAAATTAACAGACGAAGAAGTCGATGAGATGATCCGCGAGGCTGACATCGACGGTGATGGTCAAGTCAATTACGAAGGTAAGCGACTAAAATCTTTTTTTAAAATGTGTTAGCAAATTTGAATACTTAACATTGATTTGCTTTTAAATATGTAAAAGTATTTTCAAGCTGTTTAAGCTTGAAATAATTATAAATAAATGATATTTATTTATAATTATTAATATAATTTGTGATAATAGCAATTGTCGGTCATTGTATCCAAACTATAACTTTTTTATTTATTAGTAATGATAGTTTAATTTATGAAACTAAAAACTAATAACTATAGATATAGCGCTGGTTCCTAAGGTCTTTGTGTATCCTAAATTATAATACTAGATTTATTTCACTTAATACACAATGTTGTATTTAAACATTGCTTAGTATACTATTATTCATATTTTATCTTATTTAATTATATACTATATAATTTTAATCGTACAATTTTTATTTTTATTTTTTATCTATATACTTAAGAGTTTGCGAATGGGGGTAAAGTATGTCATCAGATAGATTATAGTCTGTAGGGATATACCATTTTATTTTTGGCATTTCTCTGGTGACTAGCCTCTAACATGCCCAGGTATTGCCAGTAGACAATACACCGTGGATAGGGGTCAATAACAACAAAAATGGTTATAAAGCCATGACAGTGACAAAGCTCAAATTAGCAGGTTACTGGAGGTTTGGGCACAAAAAATACAGAAATTTCGATCTTTTGTTTTATTTAATATGATAACTTCTCCAGACATTTTAAGTGGAAGCATCCAAAAACTAGTAACGAGTTTATAGCTCGCAATAACGGAACCAAAAAAAAAAATTTGAAATTATTTCTTGTGAAACTTATTGAGTGTTTCTGTTTTCTTTTAGCAGATTTCAAGTAAAGTTGCCTTTAGGAGATATTTGTATAGAAGAACTAAGTAATCTCACATTTAACGACAAATTCTTATGATACATTTTTTGCCAGAGATATTTACAATCGCTCTGCTATTACAGCTTTTTATGGTTGTTATATGCATAGAGTTCTAGGTAAAAGTAGTAAATGTCAGTAATATGACTAAGAAGAATTGATTCATTTTATGAATATGTTATTTTCTTTTATAACAAATTATTTATTCATTAAGAAATATTTGAAACTAGTTTTAAAGCTATTAGTAATATTTTGGTGATTTATCTACTTTTATCTAGTATTTTTGTTGATTCATTGAATATTTTTACAACAATACTCGCTGCTTGCTGCATGCTATAAGAGAAAATGTGATAAATTTTGTATAAAAAAAAAAAATAAAAAAAATACATTGAATCGTTCATTTAAGTAGCGTTTTTAGCAAATTGTGTCAGAAATTATTTTTAATACAATTAGAGCATTTTACTTATCAAATTTTTAAATATTTACTTTTAAATGCTTTATAACAAAAAATGTGAGATATACGTATTTAAAAGTGTATTTTTCTACGAAATATTTAGTTAATTTAGTAATCTATAGAAGTGTGCGGCAAATTTATTATCTGAATAAATTTATAGATTTCTATTTTTTCTTGTGTTTTTTTTTTTGGTAAAAATAAGAAAAATGTGTTATATTTGCATTAAATCCAACTATTTTTATATTAAGTTTAATAATTTTCACATTTTTAAAGTGTTCATAACTGTTGACAGAAATCTTTATGCTATCTATCATCTTAATAAACATTAGATTTCAATAAAACTTATTAAATCTAGGAAGACATAAAAATTAATAGATAAAATTTAATAGAAGAAGAGAATAATTAATAGTTAATAGATTATAAGGTAATTAATATTATAAAGCTTTAAAATATTATACCGTATGGTATTTAAAGTATATTTTATAATAATAAATAATAATTATATAAAATTATATAATTTTTATATAAAGTTTATAAAGTCTTTAACATAATATTATGGTACATTCCAGACTTAGTATTAATGATGTGAATTGTGATAAACGCAATAAAACTACTCCATAAATAGAACACATTAACATGAGTTCTTTCAATTAAAATGCCGAATTATATTTAGATTTCCTTTTAAACATTTTATTATTTAATTCATACTCCATTAGGAGCTTAAGGGTACAATAAATGATTTCTATCAATCTCTATTCTACGACAATTGTC